AGGCACAAGTGCGCGAGAGAGCCCCTGGCACCTGAGAGGGGTTTTGATGAAATGCTCAGTTCCTTGCGATTCTTTTTTAAAGGAACAAATAAAAAAATGGGGGTGCTTTAAAGATTAGGAAAGAGATGCGAAAACCAGCATCGTCCAATGGCCAGCATAGGCCATCTTCTAACAATGCCCCCTCGGGGATGGGATGCTGAGGAAGGTGATCTAGAGCATAGGTCTTTTTTTATGATGTTTCTTGTCCAGACCTGGGAAATCCCATGCTTCTGGGCCTGTGGGGTTCGAGCTGCCACTTGCTATAGAAGTGTGTAGTACGATGGGCCTCTGACGACCCCAGTCCTTGACAAGACAGGTGGGCAGCAGAGTACCCCGCTCAATGAACGCTCTTGCTGCTGCAGTGGTTGTGGGGGTGGAAGAGACTCTGCTACCGATTGCAGCATCAGCAGTGGTCTGATCTGGCATTTGTGAGAGACAGAGAAAAGCAAAGGAAGCTGTCAGCTGTCATTTATAATAATGTCAGGAGGACATAAATCCCCTGGACCTTGTGTTTCAGAGAAAACAGACACTGTCTGGGAATTTCAGATAGGCCTGATGCAGTTAAGAGCGCCACTCCCATTGAAAAATCAGGGAGAACTGAGCATCTGACCGCCCTGCACATCTCTGAACCTCCCTAGGACCGTGGCCTGTCCTAGGGTGTCTCTTCTCCAGGCTGAGCTGAAATAGCAGCTACCCCAAGCAGCAGACAGGTCTTCAACTTCTTGTGCTGGAAGGAAAATACGGCAAACCATAACATGTCCAGCCAAGTTTTAACACGCACTGAGGACAGTGTTAGGTTTCAGAAAGTGGAGGAAACAATTAGGGAGTCATCGATCTTAAATTTTGTTCTGGCCCACAAGGAGGTACTTGGAGCCTGGGAGAAAGTAACTGTGAGATGATCAAGGAAAGGAAGGCACGAGAGCAGCAAAACAAGGATGCTGGACTCTGAACGGGTGGATTTCCATCAGTGCAGTGAAAGAGTAGAAAAGGTCACATGACAGAAGAAAATAGTGGGGGAAAAGCATCCAAGAGGGATGGGAGTTCCTAGTGGACATAATATTGGGGGGCCAACATCAAGTTATTTCAACACAGAGGAAAGGTAAGAAGAATGGTAAGAGACTGATGCTGCTGCACTTCTTCACTGTCTGAACAGTCAAGAGATGCGTGCAAGCAATGGAAGGAAAGGTGCGTCTCAAAGGAAAGAGAAGAAGGAACAGCACAGATGTGCGAGGGCAAAAATCAGAGAAAGCAAAGGCAAGAAATAAGTTACAACTGGCAAGAAAGATAAACACAATGAGAAGAGGTTCGGCCAGCACGCTAGGTGAAAAAGAGAGATGGTTTGCGTGCTGCTCAGTGGAGAAGGGGAGCTATTAAAAGACAGAGCTGCTCAGTGCCCACTTTGCTTCAGTCTTCACACAAGAAGAAGCTGTAACCAAATGACTAGCCACGCTAATAAAACTGAAGAAGGGGAGTGCTGCAGATCATGAGCAAGCAGGGACCTGAAAACATTTAAGCCAGCAGAGCCTCATGGAGTTCACCCTGGGGGACTCAGGGCACGCGATGAAGGAACCTTGTGGCCACCGGCAATAATATTTGCAAAATCTTAAGATGACAGATGTGGTCCCAGGGGACTGAAGAAGGGCTAGCATAGTGCCCATCTTTAAATTGGGGGAAAAGCATGGTCCACAGAATTATGGGCTGGTCAGTCTGACTTCAATACCGGGGAGGTTACTAGAGAAAATGATAAGGGTTCAAATCTCAGGAGGAGGAGCTGGTGAACATAAGAAGCGCCGTACTGGGTCAGACCAATGGTCCACCTAGCCTAGTATCCTGTCTCCAGTAGTGGCAGCCAACATGGACCTGTTATGAACACGCAGTGCAAATCCGCCTTGATTCCTTTTTTGACAATGTAATCACTTTGGTGAATAAGGAGAAGGCACCGGACATAACACCTGGGTTGTAGCAAGGTGGCGGACCCACTGCCCTCATGCCACTCTCCTAAGTCATCTGGAAAAGCTCCAGCTAGACAGCATGGCTAGCAGGTGGGTACAAAGCTGGTTGAATAATCGCAAGCAAAATATAACTACCAATGGATCAATGCTCAACTAGCAGGGACTCGCGAGTAGGTTTCCAGAGGGGTCTGTGCTGGGTCTACTGCTGTTTAACATTTTTATTCATGACTTGATTGCAGGGGGTAGAGAATATATCAGACCTGCAGGTGACACAAGCCTGGGAAAGATTCAAGCACGTTGGAGGACAGGATGAAATCCAAAGGCAAACTGGAGAATTGGGCTACGGACAGCGGGATGAAATTCAACCAAGGGTACAGGTATAATGTGCTGTATTCAGGGAAGACAAGCTCATTGCAGACATATAAAAGGGGAGATAAATGATTTGGCAGCAGCACTGCCAAGAAGGCTTGGGTGGTTATGGTGAATCAGAAACTCTGCCAGGGTCAGCAAGGGGATGCTGCTGCAAGCGGGGAGGGGGGAGGCAAATGCAATTGTGGGTTGCGTTATCAAAAGCATGATCTGTAAAAGGTACGGGAGGGAACAGTCCCGCTCTCCTTGGCACTGGTTAGGCCTCTGCTAGAGTGCTGCATGCAAGAATATAGAGAAACCGGGGAAGGACCAGAGCATGCATGGATGATGAAGGTGATAAAGCTGCCTAGGGAAGTGCTGGAATTTCCTTCAAGGGAGGTTTTCAAATAGCAGCTGGATTAGCATCTGCTTGGGATGGTTTAGGACCGTGGTGCTCAAGCTTTTGGCCCCTGGACCAGATAAGTGGTGCAGGGCTGGCCCGTAACCTAGATTGGGGCCTGCATGCCAGGATCAGGCCCTGCAAGGCTGCAGCTGACCCCCACATGTTGGGATCAGGCCCTGGGACCCCCCACTCTCCCCTGCCAAATTTCCAAGCCAAGGGGGAGCCCCACTGGCCGGATGACATGGCACTGGGGAATGGCTCCGGCCTGCAGGCCAGGGGTCGAACACGCGGGGTTTAGGAGGAGCCGATCCTGCAGGCGCACTATATGACCCCAGAGGTTTCTCCTGACTATACGACTCCACGTTTCACCCGCCAGTCCCCACTGCCCTCTCTTCATCGGAGCATTTGACAGACTACCCAAAAACTCCTCTCCAAAAATCTCCCCAAGCGCTGCCACCCAACTGCTGTTCTCCTAAAGTTATAAACATACTAAGGCCTACACATGAGAGAAAGGAGAGAGCCCCGGGAGCTGGGGCCAACAAGCCCCGCAACACATGTACCTCGTCCATGAGGATGATGAAGGTGGCGTTGTGCCCTTGCTCTGTAACGAGCTTGCCGTCGGTGGTGAGAATGTGTAGTCCACGTGGAGCCTTCCCAGGGCACTTTTCAGCCTTGGCCATGTACTTCTCCCGGAGCCCATCCACGCAGTTGTTAGACACGATCCTCCGATACCTGGGGGACATTAACATTTTGGGGATGCGCTTGGATATTTTTAACGTGTGCATTCAAAGAGCTGCCCAAGGCTGACAGCTCGTGCGCTGAGAGGAAAATCAAAGAAATCAAATGCTTTATTAAACTACAGAAGCCAAACAAATCAGAGCCCAGCCTCCTCCTGGGACCCCGGCTCCACCAGTGAGAATAGATTCATATTGTTGAGGTGAATTACTATATATGGATGAAAGCTGGGCAAGGCATATTCCATCCCCTTCTCCATTTCCCTGTCCCTGCAGTATTGTCCCTTGCATTATGGCATTTTATTATGTTTTTATTATCTTGCGGCTCCTTCAATTCTGCTTGCCGGCTCCCTGAATGATTTGGCAGAGGCTTTGTCTAGTCCAGTTTTTAATGATTCAAGGAATAGGCTTCTCTTGGCTCCATGCAGAAACAAAGAGATTAACTGATTTGGGGCGGGGAGGATGCTCAGCAATGTGCTGCCTTGTTTTAAAATATTAACCCTTCTAGCGATTGCCTAAAGGGATTTTTAGACTTATAGGACTGGGTAAGGGGAGCTGATCTTCTACTGCTCTGTGGCCGTCCAGCTCCATATGGTCGATGCAGTCGATGTCCACCTGACTTCCTGCTGTGCCACTTTAATGGCACCTTCTGCCATGGAGTGGTCTCCCGAGGAAAGTGCATCCAGGTTCGCCGTGGCCCAGCTTTCATCTTCTATTTTGCAATAACATGCCAACCCCGGAGAGCAACCCAACCATAGAAGGTAGAGCCTGGCACAGGTCAGCTAGATTACAACAGCCTTCAAGTATACACAGTGTGAAATGCAGCGATGCACCAGCTCCACAGAGTGACCCTGCCATAATAAACCAGCGCGCACAATCCAGGACCACAGAATGAAGCTACCATGACAAACCAGTGCACACAGCTCCGCCACCCATGACAAACCATCGCATGCATTTTATGGTGACAAGCCATTATATACACATGGTGAAGTGGGGGGAAACTGAGCAAGGATACAGATGGCAAATGCACACTTCCGATGAAGTTATTAGAAATAAGAACAGGAAAAAATTCTCCAGGAAGAACTATGTGAAATTCCTTCAGCAGGTCCTCTTAAATGTTCAGCCCTTGTTCAAATAGAGCACTGGATCTGTGCTTACTTTTGCAGCAAAAGTAGCATCAAGTGTGGGCTCCAGGCATCATATATCACTCGATAGCAATACAATAGCTACATGTGACTTATGTTAATATACTTCTCGCATATGAAGAATGAGGCAACGTTCCACCCACACGGTATCAGCTTGAAATAAGGCAGGAAAAGAGCCAGGTGGGATGGAGATACTGATAAAGATGTGTAGCGCAACAAGGTCACCAAATGCAGGGTGCCCGTGGGACAGACTTACCCGGTGCTGTTCAGGTAGCTCTGGCCGAAGCTACAGTCCTTGGACAGGGAGGATGGATTGAACCAGAAGGCTGGGACACACTGGTTGTTACTGTGTCTTTCATAGCCATAGTCACTGCAGAGGCACAAGAATAATGGACAGCATCATATCATTCAGCATGGATACCCAAAAATGCTGTGAAATTTTAGCCAACATATCTTAATGGAAAAACAACTGTGGAGGGGAGGGTCAATTAACTATGCTAGTCCCAGGGAGAGATGACTCTTCCTTCTCCTCGAAGAATGACAGAAAAATAGCACTGAAAGTCTTGAGGTTCAATCCTCTGCTCAAGGCAGCATCATCTCTGGGAACCATCCCAGTAAAAGCATTTGTCTAACCAGTGCTTAAAAACGTCCAGTGATGGAGCTCTTGGTCATGTTCCAGTGCTTAACCTTTCTCCTCATCCAAAAAATCTTCCTAATATCTACCCTTGGTGCAATTTAAGCCTGGCACTTCTTCTCTTTGTCCAGAGGGGACAGGACAAGAGTTGATCATCATCCTCCTTACAACAAGCCTCATATTGAAGGGCTCTTATCACAGGGCCTTTTCATCTACAATGCAGGCACCCTTGCTCAAGTTCACTCTCCTTGATTCACACTCCAGGTAACATCTTGCGAAGTCTTTAGTAAGGAAAAACCAAAACCTAAGGAACAAATTCAGCAAAGCACTTAAACCTCTACTTAAAGTTAGAGCACTGACCTCATTGGGACTTGACCACATGGACTTCTGAATGGTATAAAGTACTCATTGAAGCGGGCCTCCGGCTAGGCCTTTGAGCCCAAATTAGAGAGCTAAATAGTGGGTTGAACAACATAGATAGTGGGGTTGGAGTTCTGGCAGACTTATCCAGTGGCAATGGGCTCTGGAGGAATGGGATCTTAGAAAAGCTGGACGTGTACAAGTCCATGGGGCCGGATGCAATGCAAGGAGCAAGGGTGACAGAACAAGGAGCAATGCTCTCAAGTTGCAGCAACAGAGGTTTAGGTTGGATATTAGGATATTATTATCTGGTAACCTATCCAGATCTTGCTGCAGTCTTTCCCTCCCTA